GCAGAACGGATGAATTCTAGATTTTTATGATCCGTGAAGACAGTCACAGGATGCTTAGCCCCTTCCAACAGATGCCTCCATTCGGAAAAGGCTTCCCTAATTGCCAGCAACTCCTTATTCCCAATGTCATAATTCCTTTCAGCAGATGACATCAAACGAGAAAAATAAGCACAGGGATGAAGCTGCATTTTTTCTCCTCGTCGCTGAGAAATGATAGCTCCCACGGCGGAGTCTGAGGCATCCACTTCCACAATAAAAGGTAGCTCAGGATCAGGATGTACCAATATTGGTGCAGATGTGAAGAGAGTCTTTAGCTTACTAAAAGCAGTTTGTGCCTCAGTTGACCATGCAAAGGGCACTCCTTTCTTTGTCAGCTGTGTAATTGGTGCTATTACCTTAGAGAAGTTTCTTATGAATTTCCTATAAAAGTTTGCAAATCCAATAAATCGTTGTATTTCCTTAACGTTTCCAGGGGCAGTCCAATCCACCACTGCCTTGATCTTTTCAGGATCCATGCTCACTCCTTCTGAAGAAACGATATATCCCAAGAACTGGATCTGGGCTCGTTCAAACTCACACTTCTCCAGTTTGATGTAAAGTCGGTTCATCCTTAACCTTTTGAATACAGTGCAGACATGCTTGCGATGCTCCACCAGGTTGTCCGAAAAGATGAGGATATCGTCCAGATAAGCAATAACAAACTGGTCCAACAAATCTCGAAAACACATCATTTATGAAGTGCTGAAAAGTCGCGGGAGCATTACATAGGCCAAAAGGCATAACTAGGGACTCAAAGTGTCCATATCTGGTTCTAAAGGCAGTCTTCCATTCGTCGCCTTGACGCATGCGTACCAGGTTATATGCCCCCCGTAAGTCAAGTTTTGTGAAGACTTTGGCAGAGCGGAGTCTTTCCAACATCTCTGCGATTAAAGGGAGTGGGTAACGGTTTTTAACAGTGATTTTATTCAAGCCCCTAAAATCAATGCATGGACGCAAGGTGGAGTCCTTTTTCTCAACAAAGAACAGGGCTGCTCCTGCAGGAGATGTTGAGGGTCTGATAAAGCCCTTCTCCAAATTCTCATCAAGCCACTCCCTTAGCACCTTTAACTCAGGTTCTGATAAATTGAAAATGCGGCTGAATGGTATTTCTGCTCCTGGAAGCAGTTCAATGGGACAATCATATGGACGATGAGGAGGTAGTTGATCCGCATTTTTCTTATCACAGACGTCTCGAAACTCATGGTATTGTGGAGGCAGATTGTCATATGACTGTGTAGTTACCATATCAGCCTGTGATTTCCTGATTGGTAGACAACTTGTAGCACATGGTTTCCTACAATGTTCCTCACAATGGGGGGATGTAAAATTTATGGTCCGTGCTCCCCAGTTGATGAAGGGATTATGGGTAGTAAACCAAGGGATGCCCAGGATGACAGGAAATTTAGGTGATGTAATCAGCTGAAAGCTGATGGTCTCAAAATGGTCAGCCTGAAATTGGAGTACTAGAGGAACTGTTTCATGAGTAACTGGTCCTGATGATAAAGGTGAACCATCAACTGTCTCCATATCAATAGGGGCAGATTTGTTTCTCCTGAGAATATTATTATTGTGGGCAAACTCTATGTCCATAAAGTTTCCCCCAGCCCCAGAGTCCAGCATAGCAGAACAAGGAATTTCATGGCCCTCAGTAAAAAGTTTGATAGGGACAACAAAATGAGACTGTTTAGGACCAACTTTATTTTCTTCATCGATCAATGGGGAGATAGACTGGGTAATTGAATTTATGCGTTCAGGCAGGATAACATCAGTCGCAGCAATTGTTCTTTTGGCTTTATTAGGACAATTGACTGCGTAATGCCCAGAGTCCCCACAGTATAAACATAAATTCTCCAAACGTCTTCTCTCCTTCTCTTGAGTAGAAATTGATCTTTTAACAGTATCTACTTGCATAGGTTCAGGTGTGTTATAATCTGAAGAAATGTTTAAATCCTTCTGACTGAACTGATTAGCAGAAAAACGCATGCCACCATTACTTCCCAATCTCTCCTTTCTTCTTTCTGTCAGTCTTTGGTCAATCCGAATGCATAATTGGATGAACTCCTCAAGATCGTTAGGAGTCTCTACTCTGGCGAGCTCATCCTTCACCTGTTCAGAGAGCCCCTGCCGGAACTGACTCTTTTGCGCTGCTGGGTTCCAGGTGGTGTCTGAGAATCCAGCGTCGAAATTCAGTTGTATACTCCGCAACAGGGCGTCTACCCTGCCTCAAACTATGCAGCTTTGCTTCAGCGGTAGCGCAGCGGTTGGGATCATCAAAGACCTGGTTCATTGCAGTCACAAAAGTCGCAAAACTGTTTAACATTGCATTGTTTTGCTCTATATAGGGAGAGGCCCAAGCTAGGGCTTCCTCAGTCAGGAGGTTTATAACAAACAATACCTTCTGCCTCTCAGTATTAAATGCAGCAGGTTGCATCTGGAAATAAATGCGGCATTGGTTAAGGAAACCCCTGTAGTGGCGGCGGTCTCCATTGAACTTGAGTGGCAGAGGCATGCGTGTATTAGCAACATCGCGGGAGCACATGTCCAGCAATCGTGTCTGCAGAGCATGGATCTCTTCCTGTTGCCCCTCTACTACACTTTGCAGTTCAGCAAATTTCTTTTGGTAGGTAACACCAAACTCTTGTAGCTCTGAAATTTGCTGCCTGACAGGAGCCATGGCATTTGCTATAGCGGCCTCCATGTGTGGGCCAGATTATTCTGTCACGGTGTAAGGTCAGGTTCAGAGACCAGTTGCTATAGCAGTAAAAGGCTTACCTGGAACCAGCAGGATAGGTACACCAGCGGATCCCCCTGGGAATGACGCAGGCTCACCTGAGGTGCGGGGTCTAAGTATTAACCGGTATTCACCAGAGCTCCTAATGGTGGAGATGGATTGGGCTGCGTGTTAATACCAGGTCGCAGATCTCAGGATCACCCCACCAGGGAATGAGCAGACTGGGAACCAATAGCGGATCAACAGGTTAGGGATCAGACGAAAGCAGAGTCGGTCACAAGCCAAGGGTCGGTCACAAATGGTAGCAGATCAATCGTGGTCAGGAACAAGCCAAAGGTCAGTAGCGGAGGTGTAGACAGCAGCAGGAACAGTAGCAGGATATTGGCTGGAAAGGCACAATAATCTGGCAAGGAGGAAGTCCAAGGACATGGCTTATATAGGAAGTTCATGGGAGGAGCAAGGAGTTCAAGGTTCAAGAGCAAACAAGGCACAAGGCAGGATTATCCAATAGATGAGGCAAAGTGTTGTCCAGCATCCTAGGTAGCTCAGTGAGTAGAGTTACTGCCTGACACAGTAGAAGTCCCAGGTTCAAGTCCAGGCCCTGATCAACCGCAGATAGCCGAATGATGGCTACACTGCGGCCAGCCAGTTCTGGGAGGGCGTCATATGACGTCCTCCCAGAACGCGCTCTCCTGTGCGCCCCCGGGGGCACGCACCCGGCGATCTCCGTGTTCGCTGTGTCCTACGGACACAGCTGATCACGTGATGTGGTAAAAGGCCAATCACAGCAGCCTTTTACCACGTGATCAGCCATGTCCAATGACACGCTGATCACTGGGAAATGCAATTGCCGGTTCTCGGCTGCACTTTCCTCACACTGTCAGAGCATGAGAAAAGTACTGCCGAGAACTGGCAGTTGTCAGAGCAGGGATTGGCACCGATCATCAGGGCACTGATGATCAGTGCCCTGATGATTGGTGCCCAGCAGTGCCACCCACCAGTTCCGCCCACCTGTGCCCAGCAGTGCACCCACCTGTGCCCAGAAGTGCCACCTACCTGTGCCCAGCAGTGCCACCTACCTGTGCCCACCCACCTGTGCCCACCAGTGCCACCCACCAGTGCCCATCAGTGCAGCCCAGAAGTGCTGCCAGTCAGTGCCCAGCGGTTGTGCCAGTCAGTGCCCAGCAGTTGCGCCAGTCCATGCCTAGCAGTGCTGCCAGTCAGTGCCCAGCAGTGATGCCAGTCAGTGCCACCTATCAGTGCCGCCTATCCGTGACACCTCATTAGTGCTGCCTATCAGTGCCGCCTATCCGTGCCACCTCATTAGTGCTGCCTATCAGTGCCCATCAGTGCATCCTCATCAAACGCACATCAGTGAAGGAGAAAAATTACCTGTTTGAAAAATTTTTATAATAGAAACAAAGAAACTTTTTTTTTTCAAATGTTATTGCAATTTTTTTGTTTATAGCGCAAATAGTAAAGTGCCCAGTGGCGATTAAATACCACCAAAAGAAAGCTCTATTTGTGAGAAAAAAATGCTAAAAATTTCATATGGGTACAATGTTGCACGACCACGCAATTGTCAATCAAAGTGTGACAGTGCTGAAAGCTGAAAATTGGCCTGGTAAAGAAGGGGTATAAGTGCCCGGTAGGCAAGTGGTTAATTCAGTCCTCTGTAGGTTGATAATTTTCATTTTCATCAACCGATGGGTCATCGTTACATTCCTAACACATTACCCAGTCCATATCAGTATAGATATCCAACATGATATTTTCCCCCACAGAGATCTGCTGTGTTTTCAAAGTGTTCCTTTAATATTTTTCAGCAGTGTATTATTTTGTTTCTTTTCTTTATTTGAAGAAACACAATTTTTTTAATGAGTTTTCTTCATATAGTAGGCTAGCAATGAGGGGAAAATCTCAGAGGTTTGAAGCAGAAACAAAACCATTTCAATTCCTACCACTCACAACAGAAGTCTCATCCTTCAGCTAGAGTTTTAGTTTACATCTGAGCTGTGTTATTTTCATGTGTTCAATCCACATTTAAATGTGGAACAAAAATAGAAAATAACATACATGCATAGCACAGTGGACACAATGTCTGCAACCAGGGGCGGACTGACCATTTGGAAACTCGGGCACTGCCCGAGGCCCGGGGTCAGTAGGGGGCCCCGTGAGATGCCCCTGGTACCTTTTTCATAGGCTTTTTTGAGTTTGGGCAAGGACACAGGGGCCCCATGATCCTCTATTGCCCGGGGGCCCCATGAGTTGTCAGTCCGCCCCTGTCTGCAACATTAGCTTTTGTGTCCTTTCTCTTCTTACAGGTGAATGTGGCAACCTTTTCTAAATTTCCAAAATGTTTTAGGGGTCAGACAGGCAGCTGTGTTTCTGCATGTTGAGGGCAACAACACACCTTGCTGTATACCTAAGTACCAAAATGTGATTTTGTTTAGAAAACAATGTCTTGACATAAAATATTGACATACGTTCCTATAGGAAGTATGCATTTTCAGGCAGGCATGACACAGATCAACTTTTTTAACATTATGAAGAAAGCCCAAATTGGTTTGTTGCAAGGCTCATTTGTAACAATAGATCCATCTATAGATGGAAAGCAGCTTTCCATGGGTTTTGATTCACTTCAGTGTAATTCAGATTAGATGGCAAATCACTGTTATGATGATTGTATCTGCTAATATATATGCCTACTGCAAAACATTTTTCGCATGCATGATCTTGATATCGAGATTCCCAACATTGCTGTCAGGTGGTCTGTCCTTTGCTTATGGTATGTTACACTACTGATACAGGGGATAAAAGAGGAAACTCTTAACAGAGCTTGCAATCTAAGAGTAAGGGAATGATCAGAGTTGAAGATAGTTTCTATAGAGTGAAATCAGCCACCATGTTTTTATATGTATTGTGCACTTTGGCCAGAAGACCTCTATGGTTGAGTGGGCCCTTCTGTTGTGACCATAGCAAGGGTGTCTCACACTCTGCATTGTGTTTTTAATTTATTTAGTAGTGTCTAGAATAAAGTAGGGGGACTGTTCAGTGAGGATATTATTAATGAGATTTGACCATTAAAATAAGATCGAACTCTCCAACATGTAAGAAAGCTAAATAAACATTATTGGACAGTTGAACCTTTTAAGAATACATTTGGAACTTTGGTTGTGATCCGATGAGTTTGTGTGGGCAAATAAGAGTAAGCATACATGGCCCGATAGTTGCAAACATGCAAATATTTAGAGCCTAAAGCAGACCATAGATGATGTGGTTTTCTTTCCTGCAACCAAGGGTAGCAGGAAGGAAAATCGCTCAATTCCCCCATCAACAGTCAGGGTAGATGGGGGAATCCCTACCGCAGAGCTATTGTGTTCTCCTGGCGGGGGTCCATCCCAGGACAATAATTGCATGAAAGATCCAATGTGCTGGTTATACCAAAATAATACAACAGTTGAATTGGGTACAATCAGCCTGCCCATTGATGATTTGAACCATGGCCAACTTTACATGTTGGGGTAATTAAAGGATGATAGCAAACTTTTCCAGGTCTTGGAAGCCCTCGTTATTGTGCAAATAAGAGAATTCTTTGTACTCAAATGAGTCAGTTGTGTGCTTTTCATTTTTTTATTCACGAGGCAGATGTTCTAATATGCCTGATTAATTTCACTGCCAAAAATCATTTGTGAGATGGTTAAGTGCAGGAAAGGCTTGAGATTGTTATCCAGACCATGCTAACATGACTGCCATTGTGTGACCATGGCGGCATCCTCTCAGAAAAGACTACATCTACCAAATACTGCACATATTCGTTATATAGAACCTTAATGTTCAATATCACATAAGATATTTCATTGGAATCCAAGGACAAAGAACAATTGTTCTTTGTTCTGAATTCTCAGTTTCTTGTGACTTATTTTATATGCACTCTTGACACTGAAATATGGATACAAATGATGCATGATGATGTGTGAGGAACATTTCACTGGTCCTCCCCTGAAATGTTATCCTTGTATTTGTATGCCTTACACGACAATGGATAATAACACCGTGTAAAGCAAGCAAGTGCTTCATGCAAGTTTTGTTTTCCATTGTGTTTCATCTCTGTAACAAGCACACACAGTCAAGCTGGCTTAATCCATCACCAACATTCTCTGGCAGTGCTGTCTGATGTGGTTCCAAAAACTTCAAATGTAACAGACAATCCAAGCAACACATAAGACAGTGAGCATTGCCGTTTCCAAAAATATTTGTGATGCCTATAGAACACAATGCTCTATACCACTATCACCATCCCTGCTGCCCAGCTTGTCCTTGTCTTCTACATCCTGGCACACAACAAAGAGTCAGCAGCCAGAAAGTTTGTGAAATGGAATATATGTCTTTAGAAGTAGCAACCTCATTAAATAAGATGCAATGCAACACACATAAAACACTAGAAATCGTTGATAGAAAAAATACAAAGAATTATTTAAAATTTTGAGAATAGTTTTATAGGCAATAGTTACAAGTAACATTAGATGGTTTTAAATTCCAGTCATTAGTGTTCTTATGGGAGTGTACTTTTTCAGATTTTCATAGATTTGTATATTAAATCAGTATTCAACCCCAAACCTAACATTTTATTGCATCTTACCAATCCTTTCCTTTATTTTCATCTGGTGACCTAGCAAGATGTGTCATTTTACAGGAAGGAGACAAACCATTTAACACTGTCAGGGGTGCTTACAATGATTGGCTTTTATTTATTCATGTAAAAACATTCATCCTTAAAGGAAAAAACTTCTTGCTGTAACTGATTATAAAGTGTGAGCTGGAGTTTGACCTCAATTTGTTAATGTAATAAATCTGTTAGTACATTTAACACTTCCCTCCCCAAGACTGACAATGCTGCTGTCCGCTGTGCTCCCTGTGCTCCTTCAGAGTAGGGGCACTCTAATACAGAAGGTGTGTTAGTGGTCAGATCACCAGGTGTAAACTTGCTTGTGATTGGGTAATTTTTGCAAAGTAAAAACTTCACCACTTCACCAAATTCACTAAACATGCATAATGCAGCTTCCATTAAATAGGGAACAACTACTTTGCCTTTAGTAAATCAACAGAGAGAAGACAATGCAATATTTAAATAAACATTTAAAAAAGCCACATACTCTTTGTGTGTGTGTGTATATATATATATATAGATTTTTATATATTATTATACAGTATTTATATAGTGCCAACAGTTTGCTCAGCGCTGTACATTACAATGGGAGACAGTACACGAGATAGCACAGTAACAATACAATACATGAGGGGTTCGAGGGCCCTGCTCCTTGGAGCTTACAATCTAGGAGGGAGGGGGGAGTGGTACAGGAGGAAATAGCTGTGGGGGATGGAGTGGTGTGAAGAGTGGAGGAGATGGGCAATTAGGTGAGGGCGGGGTAGGCTTCTCTGAAGAGATGGGTTTTCAGGGTGCGCCTAAAGGTGAGGAGGGTAGGTGACAGTCTGATGGATTGGGGTAGTAAGTTCCAGAGGATGGGGGAAGCCCTGGAGAATTCCTGGAGACAGGCATGGGAGGAGGAGAGCAGGGAGCTATAGAGTAGGAGGTCTTGTGAGGAGCGGAGAGTGCGTTTTGGGTGGTAGATGGATATCAGGTCGGTGATGTAGTTTGGGGCAGTGTTATGAACAGCTTTGTACGTCAATGTAAATAATTTGAATTTTATGCGTTGGGCAATCGGAAGCCAGTGGAGGAATTGGCAGAGGGGGGTACGGAGCGGAGATACAGAGTGGTTAGTAAGGTGCATGAGTCTGGCCACAGAATTCAGGATAGACTAAAGCGGGGATAGCCTGTGTTGAGGTAGGCCGGCGAGGCGGGAGTTACAGTAGTCAAGTCGTGATATAATGAGGGAGTGAATGAGTTGCTTTGTAGTTTCTGGAGTTAGGAACGTGCGTATTTTGGAGATGTTGCAGAGGTGGAGTCTGCATGAATTTGTCAGTGATTGGACCTAGGGCTGGAAAGACAGATTGGAGTCTAGAATGACACCTAGTACTCTGGCTTGCGGGGTGGGGCTGATGGTGGTGCTGTTGGTCGTGATAGAGAGGTCGGGGGGTGGGGGTGCGCGGGCTGGGGGGAAAACTAGGAGCTCGGTGTATATATATATATATATATATATATATACACACACATACACACACACACAAAGAGTGGTGTGCGGTCACATGATCGGAATGTTCCCGATCCTAAGTAGGCATCGAGAGCTTTCTGGTACTTGCTGGCAATTATGCTATGCATTTAAGACGCATATATGTGGCCTTTCAGCTTTAAAAGCCACCCACTGATATATGTGTACGGCCAGCAGTAACAGGTTAAAAGCAGTTGTGTGGAAATAGTGGAAGGACTGAATGGGAGTTACTGGGAATGCTGGAGAGAATAATATAATGATGTTTGGGGGGATGAAAAGGAGATAATGTTGTGAGGAGAATTTGAAGGGAATTTTAGTGTTTTTAGTCTCAGATTTAAAAAAATAACTTTTTGAGCAAACTCACAAAACTTCCCAATGATAGGACGTAAACTGCAAGGTATTACTTACTTGGTTGTGTCCCAGGCTCTGAAGGTCCTCTAAGAACTTTTATATTTCTGTATGTTTCAGGAGGGTCTATGCAGTGAAAGTGTAGCTTGTAAGGCCCAAGCCTTCAATATATCTGTTCCATAGTTGTGCTATTTAATAGCTAATTTTTAATTCAATGGAAATGGAGAATTTATTGGATTTGGTGGGCCCTGATTTAAAAACATTGTCTTACTTTTATTGGTCATTGTTGTCTAAGTACGGAGTGTTCATGAGATATCATTGCATTAGTAGATGTGTCATCATCTTCAGTATCTTATATCTGCAGCAGTGGATTTGCTGTATGCAAACTGCTGAAATCACTGCAAATCATTTTTCCCAGATTGAGAGTGAGCCTCCTCCATCATTACGTAAACTATTTTGTTTTATAGGATTTCATATAATTCATATGTATTCAAGTGCTGCCAACAAAATACGAGTAGTTGGTCTCGCATGTCCAATAAAACAAGTTTTTCTGTAACTGAAATTCACTGTCAGAATCTATACATAAGTGAATTCTTTACTGTCATGTTTCTTTTTAACTTAAATCACATGTGCATCCATGCAAAACTTTCCAGGTTCACATCAAGGCAGCATCTCATAAAAAAGTTAGTACACTGTAATCTTACTTCCTTTGTCTAATCTGTATATTTAGTGTGTTTCTTAAATCCATTTTGTAATCTGTGTCTTCAAGTTGGCATTTTCCCTTATAATCTTTTGGTACCCAAGACTGCCCATTACTTGGGTCCTGCAAAGTTGTGTGTTGTAAACCAT